AACTGGCATTACAAACTGTTGTTAGCTGCTGTGTGGATGATGGGTATCAAACCCAGGTCCTCTGCAAGAGTAACCAGCACTTTTAATTGATTAGCACAGTCAGAGGTAGCTGTTCCAGCAGAGGCAATGGCCACAGTACTAAATATTTGTCATTTCTGGCTCCCAAGATGAAGTCCTGACTTCTTAGCATGTGAACACCTCCAATATACTCCCCTCCTACACTCCTGGCTTCTTTGCTGTCACCAAGATGAGTACCTATGGTTCTGTTGTTTTCTTTGGTGTTTGTGTGTGTGGTTGTTTTTTGTTGTGTTTTTGGTTTGTTTGTTTTTTTTGGTTTTTTTTTTGAGCTGGGATGCTGATATGTAGCGCAGGCTGGTCTCCAACTTGCCTCAGTCTCCCAAGTGCTGGAATAGTAAGTTGTGTACCACCATGCCTGCTGCTTCTCTGTGTGGTTTTTGACAATTCCATACATAATTTTGATCACACTCCCCGCCCTCCATCACCCATCTGTGGTTCTTGAACCTTCTTTGACTCAAGCCCCTCCTCTCCTCAGTAGCTCAATACCTATTTCAAAATATACATCTACTTGCCCCCAACCTCCTCTTTCTGTCCTGTGGCCTCCAGGGTCCTGTCTCATTGTACTTACCTCTCTCCATCCTACTTATCTGTTCTCTGTTAGGGAAGCCCCTGGGGGGGGGGCAGGGTCCTTTCCTTCTCTCCCTAGACACCTCAGTTATGATTCTAGGATACCTGGTATATCCTAGAATGAGACTTGCCCTAATACTCTTTATACTTATTTCAGTACAAACATGATCTCTATAGATTGATTAAACACTCCTTGAAGGGCAGGGGTCATGGTCACACCTTCTGTACTTTCCTGTCCTGCTTACTGCTTTAAGTACTAAGGTTGCTCAGCAAATACTTACAGAGCCCAGCCTATCCGCCTGTCCCTGAAACCTCCTCAGCCCACCAACCCCATCTCTGGCTTCCAAGGAGCTTTCTCAAGAGGGTCTGGCATTAGCTGCCATCCTCTCTGATCTTGGGACCCAACAATTTACAAAGTATAGTGCTCAGTTATTTGATCAAATACCAGCATGTATGCTTCTGTGGAAGAATGTTTTAGGGTGACTAGTGTGACAAACATTAAAATCAGTGTTTGTTTGATACAGGGTCTTTCTATAGCCCAGGCTGGCTGCAAACCTATGGCAATCCTCCTGCCTCAGTCTCCAGAGTGCCAGGATTATAGGCGTGAGCTACCATGTTTGATTAAATTGGTAAACTTTGAGTAAAGCAAAATACTCTATAGTAGCCAGGGTTTGTTTGTTTTCACTAAAACAAATACCTAAGAGAATTCACTTACAAAGAGAGTTTATTCTGACACACAGTTTTGGAGGTTTCATCCATGACTGATCACCCCATTGCCTTGGACCACGGTGGGCATGTGAGGAAGAGCCAAGCAACTCAGCTGACAGGACGGTTGTTCCCAACCTAATTTCTATCATGTCCTTACCCTCATTTGATTTCTTTTGGCTTCACCTCATCACCTTCCAGCTTTACAGCAGGCTACTGTCCCAGAGGGTTGCAAATAAGGGGTCCCACAATCTCTCTTGGAGGCTGTAGTGGTTAATATTGTCAACTTGACAAGATCTAGAATCACCTCGAAGATGAGACTCTGAGGATACCTGTGAGGATTATCTAGACTAGACATTAGATGATGTGGGAAGACAATTCTCCTCCTAAAGGGGGGGGCATCACTCCATGGGCTAGGGTCTTGGACTACAGAGAGGAGAAAGTGAGCTGAGCTTGAGCATTATTGTTCTCTGCTTCCTGAGGATGTAGTCTGACCAGCTGCCTCAAATTCCTGCCACAAGGGGAGATGTACCCTCCAACTGTGAGCTAAAATAAACCCCTCCTTCTGTAAGGTTGCTTGGGTCAAATACTTTGTTGTAACAACAAGGAACATAACTAATACAGGGGCATACTCCCAATGACTTAATGTTCTCCCCCTAGACCCCACCTCCAAAGTTGCCCCACTTCCCAATGGCACAGGGACTGGAGAGCAAGCTTTTAACATGGACCTTTAGGAGACATGTATCCAAACCACAGCACCCCCTACAATGTGGGTGGGCTTTCTCCCAACTACAGAAAGCCTTGACGTACCCAAAGGCTTCTGCCTTCAGATTCAAGGCTGCAACACCGATTCTTCCTTGGGGTTCTAGCCTGTTGACCCACTTTGCAAATTTCCAACTTTCCAGCCCCCACAACTGTTAATCAATTTCTTAAATCTTTCTCTCTGTGCATGTGTCCAAACACATCCTAGTGGTTGTTTCTCAGCAGAACCCTAATAACACCATTACTGGCTCAATCCAAAGCTCTCTCTGCTTTCACTCACCTTTGTCTGGCATCCCTTATGTTCCCTAAGTCCTTCACTTGAGCTCTATTACTCCTAATTTTGTTTTGATTGTGCTTAGCAAGCATATTCTCAGAACTATAAAAATCAGAATACATATGGCCCAGGGATCAGAAATTGCTATGTGGAATAAAAATTCATGCGATTCATTCTTCAAAGGAATTAATGTCTTCGGTGTCATGGGCCTTACAAAAGTGTGCCCTCACAAGGGCACGTGAAGAGGTGCCAGAATGGCCGCCACTCTGGTTTTCAGATTGGCAAAGCTGAACCTGCATTTGCTTAGGTCCATTAAGAGATTATCCTTAGGAGGGCCTGTAAGGAGCCTTCATTCGAATCGAGTTCATACAAACCTCACTGCCTTTCCTTCTAAAGAAGGGGTTAACAGACCAGAGAAGCTATAGCCACAATACCTCAGCAAGGGTCTTGGGCTTTCTTACTGTTATCTTTGAGAGAATTATGTCCAGAACATAAAGACAATGTAATTAGCATCTCACTGGGTTATTGGGTCATGTGTCAAACTTAAAGCAAACTTCTGGAGATCTGTTACTTGATCTTCCACTTAGCAGTCTCAGATGGGAGAACAATGGAAAATCCTGAGTAAAAACCAGAACCTACAAACTGACAGGCTGAGCAATGGGCAGGTGCCCTTTTAGTGGGGTGAAAATATGAAAGCATGTACCTGAGTTCAAAATACCAACTGCCCACATACAGGATGGAGAGGGAGGGGGCTGGATTTTCAGATGAGCTGTGGTCTGGCAATGACCTTGGGAATCAAGCAGTCTGTGGTCTCTTGCTTTGGTCTCCTCAGTCAGTGAACACTTGGACAGTGTTTCCACCTTGCCTGGCCCCAGGCTCTGTCACAGATTAGGAAGCACTCAACCTGAGTAAAGAACATGGCAATGTGGAGGCAGAAAGGGCGGGTGCTATGGGGCTGCAAATAACACTGTGGACCCGAGCTCTTTCCCACCATGAGCTGAATGGTCTTCGGCAATCTGTGTGACTTCTCTAACTCTCCATTTTCTACTGCATAATGACAATAAATCCCACCTTATGTAGTTTTGGGGATTAAATTAGTTTACATATAAAGCAAATTTTGGCACACTGTTTAGCAGTGTTCCTTTTTCTACCTTTTAAAATGTTATTTGTCTGTGCATGTAGGGAGTGGTGAGCCATGGCACGCATGCAGAAGTCAGAGGGTCAGAGAACAACTTGCAGCACTTGGTTCTTTCCATCCACCATATGGGTCCTGGAAATCAAATACAAGTCATCAGGCTTGGCAGCAAACCCCTTTGCCTGTCCAGCCATCTCAGTCATCTGTGGTTTGGTTTGGTTTAGCCTGGAACTAGCTACACAGACCAGGCTGGTCTTAATCTCACAAAGATCCACCTACGTGTCTACTGAGTGCTGGTATTAAAGGTGTACATCACCATGCCCAGCAGCCCATGTTTTTTAATTAAAATTTTTATTTAGTGTGTGAGAATGTGGTTGCTTGTGCCACAACCTGCATGTGGAGATTAAAGGACAATTCTCCCTTATCTCACTTTAGGAGTGCTGGGATTACAGATAACATTCTGCTTTGGACCTGGGTTCCAGTAGGGGGCTGAACTCAGGCTGTCAGGCTTGCACAGCAAATGCTTTTTCCAGCTGAGCCATCTCCCTTGGCCACACTCTAAGTTTTCAATAGGCATTTGCTAATATTAACTGAACGATAGAAGAGCTGCCTTCAAACACATTAAGGATCTTTACTTACACGAAGAATAAGTGGTGTGGAAATCCTGCAGAAGGCACATGGAGTTTGTCAAGTCCTTTCTACTCAGCAGCTCACTGCAGTTGGAAGTTGTGCTCCTGGGTGTTAGAGCATGATGCTAGAGTCATCAGTTAGGGGCACTGCAGGGGAATCGGGTGTCTGGTGAAGGGAGCTTAGGGGCCTCTAAACCAAAGATAGATCCTAGTACTTACTTGCTATTTTGGATTCCCTCAACCCAGAGGTACAGGATATTCAGTCAGCCACACTAAAAATTCCAGCACAACCAGTGAAGACTTGGCCACCTAAGCACCCCAGAATTCATATTCATACTCCAATCTAGGCAAGGGGAAGTGAAACGGGCAGGGGGCCGGGAAACGACACCTTCTTGGAGATTCAGTGGCCACGACTAACCAGGATCAAGATCCTGTTTTGTAAATAGACCAAAATGTCAGAAAAGAGGCAAGGCCAGGAGGCCAGTGCTGGGGAGGCAAGGCATGAGGATCGGCCTAGCCTGGTCTACACAGTGAGCTCAAGGCCAGCCAAAGCTATATGGTAAGATTCTGTTTCAAAGAAAGAAAGAAAGAAATACATAGGACAAATCAGACTAGGTGCCAGTGCTTTGTGTTCCCTACACCTCGGCAGGCCCTACCTCTATGAGACAAATCAAGTCTCAGAAGACCTAACACGCACAGATGAGCACTTCTGCACTCTGCTCAGCTGGTATGCGGAGGGGATCCTGGCAGGAAGCGTGGAAGAGGGACCTCAGGCATCTGTCCCATCCCCAACTCCCCTGCTGAGCCCCAGGGGCTCATTCTCCACATGGAAGGCAGGTGGCACCAGAAACTCTGTGAATAAAACTTTTAATAATGTACAGCAGAAACTGGACAGGCTCATTCTTATATTAAAACAAAAGATTTCCTATATTACAACTTATTTACATTTGCATACTGAAGAGGTAAAGTGTCTAAGTGGCTATTTTACAGTCCTTTCTAATAAAATGTACAAAAACAAACAGAAGTACCGAGAATGCCGTTCGGGGGGCCTTGATGGCGACGTAAGAACGGGCTTGGACTTGGTCTTTGACTCCAGAATCCAGAGGTGCAGGTAGCCCTGTGGGATCAGGGTAGCCTTGGGGAGACAAACCACAGTTTCAGTTTCTCCCAACTCTCAGCTTGGTGTAAGGAATGGTGGGGTGGGAGTGGAGTTCTCCAAAACCTGCTCCAGTCATCCTGAGGGCTGGAGGAGCTGGACTTCCCACACCGAGAACAAAGGGGCCTCCTGGGGAGTAGGCTAGTGGCTTGAGAGTCACTGTGTGGGCATATATATGTTGGCAGATCCCAGAGGCAAAGAGGTCTACAGTTCCAACATCACCTGTCATCACCAAGGTTCGGCTGCAGGGTGGGAACCAGGAGGTCAGCAGGGGAGGGTAAAGAGGTTCCCCTAATGACAACTGGGACTCGAGGGAAATTGTTCCGTGGCCAGTAAATTGGCCCAAAGAATTAAAGGAAGATCACCTTTAATGCAAGGAAAGAAGTTACACATCAGGAAATAAATAAAGGCTTAAAGTATGGGGAGACCAAGGCAGGGGTGAGTTCTCAGGCTTCCAGCAGGGAGAAGCTGGGCAGGAGGCAGGCTCCCTGCATACACCCATGTCTCCACTGGGGCAGGAAGGGGGCTCACAATGAACGCAGTGCTTCGGGGGTCTCACCTGGGCTTCTAAACCCCAGACCTCACTGCCCACCAGTTGTCTTTGAGGGGATACAGGATCCTCTTTCCTCAGTTCTTATTCAAGAACAGTAACTCCAGGCTCATAAAAGCTCTCAGAACCAGCCATGAACACTTCTGGTCTCAAAGCCGGCACTCATTCACTCAAGTGGTTCAGATCCTCCTCCGATGCTCCAAGAGCAGCACCTAAGCCTGTCTAGTTCAGAGAGGTCCATCAGGCCTGGCAGCAGCAGGGTCTACCCACATTTGCTGAGCAAACACCTGGAGAGGGCACAGCCCACCACACAATGCACAAAAGGCTAAGGGTGCTCATGGGATGAGGGTGTGTGTGTGGGCTACAAGACACCAAGCCCCCAGGACAAAGAGGAAATGCCACTGCGGAGTGGGAACAGGCTCAGGTGCAAGGACAAACATTTCCAGTGTGATTGAACTATGTGCGTTTGATAACAAAGAATTTTTTATGGTGTTTTTTGTTTTTGTTTTGTTTTAGGATTTCTTTAAAAACAAACAGACTAAGAGGTAACTGTCACATAGGGATGGTTTCCCAGTTAAAAAAACAAAAGAAGCCGGGCATGGTGGTGCACGCCTGTAGTCCCAGCACTTGGGAGGCAGAGGCAGGCGGATCTCTGTGAGTTCAAGGTCAGCCCGGTCTACATAGCGAGCTCCAAACCATCTGAGGCTACAGGGAGACCCTGCTTCAAAAAGAAAAAAAAAAAAAAAAAAAAAACACAAAACTTAACAGTATTAATTAAAATCCTGACCCTCCCAATAAAATAAGATAAAATAAAATAAACCACTCCAGTTAAAACTTATGGCTTCAAAGTTATTACATACCTAAGATATGCTAACCAAACCACCACCCATGGCTGGGCTTCTAGACTTCATTAAATACTACACCTTAGGTTAAACACCATATTCAGCTCAGACTGCTCCCTTAGTAGGGCCCCTGAAGTGGATGCAATCTCTCATCTTCCCTCCACCCTGATCAGAGAATCCAGTACAAGAAGGTCCATGCAGATGCCTCCCTCCCACCCCAGAGTCCCTCCCAACTCCTTGTTCCCCACCCCTCCCCACCCCAATCCTACCACCACCACCAAAAATATACACTGCAGTTTGCAGAACCTGGGGTGGGACAAACAGTTGTGACATTCCAATCTGAATCCCAAGATCTGGCCTCAGACCCCTCAACCCTCCCTTGCTGTTCCTGAGGGAGAGACCCCTTAAGCGGGCGCATTTCCCATCACCGATGCTGAACATAAACACTCAAGACTTTCACCAGCATTCTTTCCCTGCCCATCCCTCCCCACTCACATTTTGACCCAAAAGCCTCTCCTACCATGGACAAGAGGGCCAGCTTTGGTTCCGGTCTGAATTGGAGGAGGAGGGCCTACTGACACAGGGTGGGCAAGCAGCCTGCTGAGGAGAGGACCACCCTGGCAGGGGCTGGGGGACAGGGAGAGACTTAAGTAGGGCATCAGATTAACTGGATGTTGCTCACTGTGACAGAGAGAGAATGACCATCATACCCCTGGCCTGCACATGCACAGAAAGCTCAAGCAGGTAAGTGCACACCTACAGACACACATACACACACGTGTAAGGGCGTGGCATGGACAGACAGGTGGCAGGTTACCTCTCCACTGGCAGTCACTCCAGAGGTCCATGAGGAGGAGGGGAGCACGTGGCTCAGGACTGCCTGCAAGAGGGGCTACACTTCCAGTTCCTCTGAACACCTTGGTGCCAGGCTGACTGGTGGAAACCCGCAGCCCAGCTGACCACAAGGCATGGTGGACACCCCTGGGGTCTCCCAGGCCCCTCACCATTCCTGGCTACATGCCAGATGCACCGGGTTTTGTGGACTTCCCACTGCAAGCAGGTTGAGTTGTGGCATCGAGTTTTCCACACAATTTTCTCGGAGTCTCCATGCCATCAGGAGGTAAATATAAAAAGTGTCTGTGTCTCAAACCCAATGTGGGAGTGAACGAGTCTCCCAGGCTCTGTCCCTCTTGCGGGCCAGGGTTCTGGCCAGAGGGCTGGGCAGAAACAAGAGGTAGGCCTCCACTACACTCAGCACAGCAGCTGCGGGTCACCCTCGCTGCCCAGGTTCTTCATGTAGGCAGAGGAGCAGCTTAGATCTTCACGTCTTCCTGCACGCTCAGCTGGGACAGAGTCTTCTTGATGCGCAGTGCTGTGAGGCGGGCTGCGCCGTTGGCGTACCAGCACTCCCGCATCATCTTCCCCATCACCCGCAAAGCCTGCACAGAGAAAGTCAACGTGACCCACAGAAGCCATGGCCTATCGAGGCTGGCTCACTTCCCTGTCACCTCCCTGCCGTGCACGGGTCAGACCTGTAATTTGTAAGCTTTCTTCCTTGGCTTTTTCTACCTGAAGAGACAGCCTGCGTTAGGGGGAGGAGAAAGCAAAAGGAGGCCAGCTTTGTTACCTTCATTGTCAGCTAAACCCAACATGGGGCGCCTGAGGCACATTTTGGGAAATGCAGTTTCTTTATGTAGCTCTGTTCCTAAGGGCAGAAATGCCCCCTAGTGGCCAAGCTCTTTAAAGGCACAGCAGAGCTCTGGGCATGTTGGAGGAGGAACCCATGTCTTGCATGATTACCAGACCTCCCAGACAATGCTTTGTAAGCAATGCCTGCACAGAGGAAGTCAACGTGACCCACAGAAGCCATGGCCTATCGAGGCTGGCTCATTTCCCTGTCACCTCCCTGCCAGTGCTGAATTAAATTAACAGAGCTGTGTCCTACACTTGAAGTCTACCCAAAATAGACCTTCTATGTTTTTAGCACAAACATAAAGGTAACTGGGCTAAGTGAAGGATGGTTAAATAGCTTGACTGTGGCAATCCTTTCACAAGGTATTATAAGAAGTCAAATTAGCACAAGTAAACCTTAATTATGATTCTGTCACCATGCGTGAACCCCCCTCCCCCCAGTGTCCTCTGCTAGGCAGGCCTTCTAAGACCCCAAATCCCATGTTAGTTAGGAATCTGTCAAATTTGCCCTTGTTCCAGTAACTCCCATCATCCCAGCTTCCCTATTTCATCTGCCATTTGACTCAAGTTCAAATTCTCCTTGCCAATCTAAACCCCTTCACACAGCACTCCCCACCTGTCTTCAGTGTTCACAGAGGCCACTCTCTCAGACACACCCCCTTCCTTCTGGTGGACCCTGTCTGAAAGCTGAGTGCATGATGTAGCTCCCTAGCTTATGGCTGCAGAGTCACTGTTCCAGTGTGATGGGTCTGTAAGAAGCCAGCTTTCTTTTTGTCTGGCTATGCTGAGAATGGACCCTGGGCCTTGCACTTCACTTTTGTCTCTGTCTCTTCTTGGCTACCTCCCTTATGGTGAGGAACTGTTTTTCTTCTTCTAGGGTATCACCTCCAAAGGGTACCTGTAATGGCCAGAAAAATGACTGTAGCCACAGAGGGTTCAATGTGTATGAGACCACCTAATGGTGTAGTTAAGCATTCCTTCTCTGAAATGACTGGGATTAGAAATGCTGTGGGCTCTGGATTCTTTCAGATTTGGAATATTTACCCATACGTATGTAAGGACGCAGAGGCAGGCTGATCTCTGTGAGATCAAGGCCAGTCCGGTCTCCATAGTGAGCTACAGTCTAGCTTGGGCTAGAGGGAGACCCTGTCTCAAAAAGCCAAGACAAAACAAATCCCCCAAACAAAACACACACACACACACACACACACACACACACACACACGGAATTAAAGAGTCACGTTTAAACACAAAATTAATTTAAGCGTCATATTCACATCCTGAAAGTAAATTTATTTTAAGGGTTTTTTTTTTTGTCTTTTTGAGACAGGGTCTCCCTGTAGCCCCAGCAGGCCTGGAACTCATTACGTAGACCAGGCTGGCCTTGAACTCACAGAGATCTGCCTGCCTCTGCCTCCTGAGTGCTGGGATTAAAGGCATGCACCACCACGCCTAGCACACAAATATTTTTCAAGACAGGAGGTCTCACTATGCGGCCCTGCTGGCCTTGAAAACTCAAGAGATTTGCCTGCCTCTGCCTGAGTGCTGGAGTTAAAGGTGGGTGCCACCAGAGCTGGAGAAATTCATTCATATGTCATATCTACCTTATTCTCATAGCCTGAAAGTAATTTTACTTATTATTTTATGTTTTTTATGTGTTTATTTTGGTATTTTTGAGACAAGGTCTCCCTGTAGCCCCACCTGGCCCAGAACTCCCTCTGTAGACCAGGCTGGTCTTGAACTCACAGAGATCTGCCTGCCTCTGCCTCCCAAGTTCTGGGACTAAAGGCATGCGCCACCACGCCCGGCGTTTATGTGTTTATTTTTATTTTGAGTGTTATGCCTGCATGTACGTAAGTGTACTCATGTTGTGCAATGCCCATGGGGGACAGAAGAGGGTGTCAGATCCCCTGGAACTGGAGTCATGACTGTTGTTAGCTGCTATGTAGGTGCTGGGATTTGAACCTGGGCCTTCTGCGAGAACAGTTAGTGTTCTTAACTGCTGAACTATCTCTCCAGTACCCTGAAAGTAATTTTGTACATTTCCTATGTGCCTGAATTTGACTATGATACATCACATTGAGGTCAGGTGTGGGATTTTCCATTTGTGGTACCATGTTACGCATCAAAAAGCTTTAGATTTTGGATTTACAGATAAAGGATATGCTTTAAGGGTAAACCTCAGGGTTGGTCCATTAAAAAACAAAAAAGCCAAAACCCTTTTCTACCGCAAAGGAATCAGGCACATGGGAAAAGTCCCATGAGGCAAGCAAGCTCCCTACCTCATAGCTTTGCCACCAGTTGGGGATGTTGGGCCTTAACTTCTGGTCACAGACGACCTTTCGCATTTCCTCGATGGAAGGGTCAGAGGGCACTAAGTCATAATATGGCAGCTGATACTCTTCATGGACTCCTAAGAGGAAAGAAAACACCAACCTAGTCACCAACAGGAGGAGCAAATGACTTTAAACCCAGCAACACCCACACTCTTGAGTTGTAACTATTGTTCTCACTAAATACACCTGGACTTCTCAGAGAAGGCTGTCGATCCCAGGCATGGCACAGCAGCCAGGCTCAGTGGTCTGGGCCTGTAGTTTTGATACTTGGGAGGCTGGGGCAGGAGCATTGTGAATACAAACAGAAACAGAAATAAAACAAAAACCCCTAAGTGTAGCTAGAAACACTGTTTTATAAAAGGCATAGAAACTATCAGACTACTGGGGTCACCTCAAGAGCGCCCAGGTGGCCAAAGCTGAGAACACTTAAGCAATATGAAAATATGTGAGGGAAACAAGTATTTCTGAGCTCATAATTTCATAATGATTCTAGAAAAAGAAACCTTAAACACTTTGGTGGGACACCAGAGAATAAACTATTACTGTGAAAATGTAAAGAAACGGGTACTTTCTCACACTTTCTACTCCAACTATACATCTTGGTAACCAAACAGGTAATTAAGTTTATTATGTTTCCCACTTATCATCTGGGAAGAAGTGGAATTACAGGTGTGTACCGTCACACACTATCAAGTTTTACCTTACAAATCTAGCTTTTTCATGAAAGATGAATGAAATCAGAACGCTAGTTCCTTTTTTTTAAACCTCTAGTCACTTTGGATTTGGACAATGGTCACCCTGGCTGCTGACATCACAAAGGGGGAGAACTGACAATGTGACTGGATTAGACATATGGACGTGGGGCTGGAGAGATGGCTCAGCGGTTAAGAACACTGTTCTTTCAGAAAACCCGGGTTGAAATCCCAGCACCCACACGGCAGCTAACAACTGTCCGTAACTCCAGTTTCAGGGGATCCAACAGCCTCTTCTGTCCTCTGCAGGCATTGGATGACACAGGCGTACTTATCTACATGCAGGAGACTCACACATACACATAAAATAAAAATAATAAAATATTTAAAAAAGAAGTATAGCCAGGCGTGGTGGCACACAGAGGCAGGCGGATCTTTGTGAGTTCAAGTCCAGCCCGGTCTACATAGTGAGTTCCAGGACAGCTGGAGCTACAGGAAGACCCTGTCTCAAAAAGAAAAAAAAAAAAAGAATAGAGGATCCATCTATGATGGATTTTTGCCCAACCCAGATATGATTCTAGCTGAAAGATCAAACTGCCAGTTCCTAGGAAATGTGAGGAACAGTAGGAAACATGAACTCCACAGGCGGCAACCAGCAAAATCTAGCCTGGGAAACTACAAGACAACTGACTGGATTCTCCAATAAAATAAAGGAAAAAAGAAAAACTGGATGGGAATTTGAAGACTAAAGAGACTTGAGAGGTGGAATAACTACAATGATTGCACTTATACCCTGAGTTGGATTTTTTTAGTGGTGGTGAGGATCAAACCCAAGGCCTCACACATGCTAGAAAAACACTCTAGCAAGGGGGCTGGAGAGATGGCTCAGCGGTTAAGAACACTGGTTGTTCTTGCAGAAGACCCAGGTTCGAATCCCAGCACCCACATGGCAGCTAACAACTGTCCTAACTCCAGTTCCAGGGTATCCAATGGTCTCTTCTGTCCTCCGCAGGCATTGCATGACAGAGGTGCACTTACCTACATGCACGCAATATACGCATACACATAAAATAAAAATAATAAAAAGAAATTAAAAAAAAAAAAAACTCTAGCATGGATCCACACCAATGTTCTTTTTTTCTTTCTTGTCTTTTTGAGACAGGGTCTCCCTGTAGCCCCAGCTGGCCTTGAACTCACAGAGATCTGCCTGCCTCTGCCTCCCAAGTGCTGGGATTAAAGGCATGTGCCACCACTCCCAGCAACTTTTTTTTTTTTTTTTAAAGGAAGGAAGGAAGTTAGGAAAGAAATCCAAAATTGGAGCTGGCCATGGTGGTATACACCTTTAATCTCAGGACTCTGGGAGGTAGAGACAAGGATCTCTGTAAGATTGAGGCCACCCTGGTCTAAATAGTGAGTTCCAGGCCATCTGAGGCTACAGGGAGACCCCCCTTTTTTTTTTTTTGGTCTTTTTTTATTTTATTTTATTTTTTTTGGTCTTTTTGAGACAGGGTCTCCCTGTAGCCAGAGCTGTCCTGGAACTCACTATGTAGACCAGGCTGGCCTTGAACTCACAGAGATTCGCCTGCCTCTGCCTCCCAAGTGCTGGGACTACAGGCGTGAGCCACCACGCCCGGCTTGGGAGACCCCTTTTTAAAAAAAATATTTTATTATTTTTTATTTTATGTGTATGAGTGTATTGCCTGCGTGTTAAGTAGGTACGCCCATATCGTGCAATGCCCACAGAGGTCTGAAGAGGGCATCGAATTCCATGAAACCAGAATTAGGGCCATTTGTTAGCTGCCATGTGGGTGCTGGGAATTGAACCTGGGTCCTCTGAAAGAACAGCCAGTGCTCTTAACTGCTGAGTCATCTCTCTGGTTCGTTTGTTTTTAAGACAGGGGCTGCTTTCGTGGAGGACCTGGGTTTGGTTTATGATCTTAGTTTAAGAGCTGTGTGACAGGCTGGGGAGATGGCTCAGTGGGTAAACTACCTGCTGTGTAAGTATGAGGACCTCAGTTTGGATCCTTGGCACCCACTGGGCACAGTAGAGCACATCTGGAAGCCCAGCACTGGGTAGGGAGAAGGAGACAAGGAGGGTCCCTGGAGCTCACTGGCCAGTCTTACTGAATTCATGAGCTCCTGGTTCAGTCAGAGACCTTGTCTCAAAATAAGGTCGAGAACAATCAATTAAGACACTTGATACTGACCTGGCCTCTACAAGCATCCACACGGGAATATGCATACACCCATGGGAACACGCACATGTAACACAGATACACACACACAAATAATAATTTAAAAAAGATTTGTGACTGAAGTTTCTTTTTGGGAGGAGGTATGCTGGGGCATATATATTCTAGGTAAGCTCTCTACCACTGAGCTATATCCTAGCTCCAAAATTTTCTCAATTTGCTCTACTTGGTCAAACTGATGAGAATTTAAGAGGCCAATTCCATGAATAATACCTGGGCGCATGCTCCATTATTTGGGTTTACCATACACATCATAGATGGCAAAGGGGGATAACAGAATAAAAGGACTCACTGGCTTTTCATTCAGCCACGTGCCCTGCCCTGGAATCTCTTTCATCAGAGGTGAAAGGCTGAGGGGAGGGCTCGAAAGGCTCTTGAACTTGATCATGTGGGAGAATACTTAAAAATACCAATATTGCCGGGCGTGGTGGTGCACGCCTTCGATCCCAGCACTCGGAAGGCAGAGGCAGGCGGATCTCTGTGAGTTCAAGGCCAGCCTGGTCTACATAGTGAGTTCCAGGACAGCTGGGGCTATAGGGAGACCCGGTCTCAAAAAGACCGGAAAAGAAAAAAAAAAGAAAAAAACCAACATTGGGGCTGGAGAGATGGCTCAGCGGTTAAAAACAATAGTTGTTCTTGCAGAAGACCCAGGTTCGAATCCTAGCACCCACATGGCAGCTAACAACCGTCCTAACTCCAGTCCCAGGGGATCCAACAGCCTCTTCTGACCTCCGAGGGCACTGCATGACACGGGTGCACTTACCTACATGCAGGCAATATACGCATACATATAAAAAAATAGAAATTAAAAAAAAAAGTTAAAAACCCAACATAAGCGACAATAAAAAGTCTTTTCTGCTCAATCTGATGCTACCTTTTCACTGGATTCTGACATGAATAAGCAATTGCAAATGTCAGGTTTGTTTTTTTAATTATGGGAGAAAAAACTCAGTTGAAAAAAATCCTCTATTTCCCTACAAATTTAGAAATTTCTACTTAGAACAGGAAGGAAACACCAGGGTTCCTCAGAGATGAAGCTAGGAATATGACTTAAAGGCCAGCATGTCAGGACATACTGACTCTGACTCAAAAGACCCCTGCCAAGGGCTGGAGAGATGGCTCAGCAGTGAAGAGCACTGGCTGCTCGTCTAGAAGACTCAAGTTTAGTTCCCAGCACCCACATGGTGGCTAATAACTGTCCATAACTCCAGTTCCAGGAGATCCGATGCCCTCTTCTGACCTCTGCAGACAATACATGCATATGGTATACTTACATACATACAAGCAAAACACTCATATACAAAAAATAAAAAATAAATTGAGAAAGAAAAAAAGACCCTTGCCTTAATCCTCTGCCATTCACATTCTAGTAACTCTCCTCTATGATGTGCTATAATAAAGACAATGTGTGTGTGTGTGTGTGTGTGTGTGTGTGTGTGTGTATGCATGTACACATACACACAAATGATTCTCTAGAATGATTATATCACAAAGAACCACACTATTCACACTATTTTTTTCTTTCTAAGACAGGGTCTCCCTGTAGCCCCAGATGACCTGGAACTCACTATGCAGGCCCGGCTGGCCTTGAACTCACAGAGATTTGCTTGCCTCTGCCTCCCAAGTGCTGGGACTACAGGAGTGTGCCACCACGCCCAGAAGAATCACACTATTCAACAAGCTGGTCCCACGGCTAGGGATATGGTAGAACCTTGCTTTAGCATGCACAAGACATGGAGTTCATCCCTAGGCCCATGAAAACAAACAATACTAAGCTGATCCTTCAGTACAACTGCTTCCAGGGCTCCTTGATGAGAACCCTAAGTGTGACTCAGGCTCTGGACCAAACATCCTGAAGTTGTGAGAAAGGGGGCAGTGAAATACCAACACATAATGTTAGAAGCTAGAATAGGAACATAAGGTAAAGAAGAAGCGTACCTCCAGAATTGCATCTTCGAGCGATCTCCCAATACACAAGGCCAAGGGCATAGATGTCAGCACACTTAAAAGAGTCAAAGTGTTTCATGTTAATGGTTTCATCAAGTACTTCAGGAGCCATGTATCTGGAATGGCAAGAGAAACAGGGTTATGTACTGAACATGATGACTGCCCTCTTTAAATCTAAGCACTGATTCAGGGGTCCTCTGAATACGGGAGAATACCACCTAATACAGTCCCCTGAGGAGAAGCAAGCTCTTGTCTTCCACTGCACAACCTTATGCTTTGGATTCAAGTCTAAATGCTTCAGCACAGATGATTTTTAGGTATGTATTTACATTTTAGAGGTTTATTTTTATTTATTTTTAAAATTATGTATATATCTGTGTGACTGTGGGGAGGTATATGCACATTGTGTGGGTGCCCACAAAGGCCAGAAAAGGGTGTTGGATCCCCTGGAGCTGGAGTTACAGGTGGTTGTGAGGCACCCATGTGGGTGCTGGAAACTGAACCCGGGCCCTCTGCAAGAGCAAAATGAGCTCTTAATCACTGACTCCTCTCTCTAGCCTCTTTTTCTACATATAATTTTTGAAACAGAGTTTCAAATTCAGACTGGTCTCAAACTGACTATGTAAGAGAGGATAACTCTGAATTCTTTATTTTTATTTACTTGTTTAATTAATTTATTAATTTTGTGTTTTTGAGACAGGGTCTCCCTGTAGCATCAGTGTTTATTTATTTATTTTTTTTATTTTTTTTTAATTTTGAGATAGAGTCTCCCTGTAGCCCCAGGTGGGCTGGAACTCATTATATAGACCAGGTTGGCCTGGATCTTACAGAAGTCCTCCTGCTAAGTGCTAGGATTAAAAGGCATGTGCCACCATGCCCAGCTATGGATTCTTTTTAATTAATAGAGCTTTCACCTGCTTAGAATTACCTACTGCTTTAAAAATGTCTGGTTTTTCTTTTGAGGACAGCTCAATACAACAATCTCCAGGTGATATATGACATGAAACTGGAAAATGGCCATTAGAAAAATAATAGTGGACTCTGTCAAGTATATGACATAGATGTGCCTAGTGCTCAGAATTGAGAGAAGTTTTCAGCTTTGCCTATTGTTGAATTTATTATTATTACCAAACTTTTAAAACTCTGGGGTGGGGGTGGGGGTTAAAAAAAAATTATTATTATTTTTTTACAAGGTTAAGTGTTTTGCCTGTATTTATGTAAGTACCCTTGTGTTGTACGATGCCTGCAGAGGCCAGCAGAGGCATCAGACCCTGGAACAACTTTCAGATGATTATTAGTCTCCATGTGGGTGCTAGGAACTGAACCTGAGTCCTCTACAAGAGCAGACAGTGTTCTGAACCACTGTGCCATCTCTCCAGTCCCCAGCTATGAATTCATGTTGTTCTCGCCTCCACCTCCTGAATAGAGGTGTACACACCACCCTCTAAATTAATTTAAGAGACAGGGTATCGCTATGCAGCCCAGGCCAGCTTCAAACTCATGATCCTCCTGCCTCAGCATTCTGAGTGATGGCACCGTGGCTATGTGTGTGCCACCACACCCAACTATAGTTACCTCCTTCCTCCCATTATCATCACCATCATCATCATCTCCTCTTCTGTGTGGTGGGGGCCTTGAACCCAGGGCCTTGTGCATACTAGGCAAGTACTCTACCACTAAGGTACATTTCCAGTCCATTATGTCTTTATAGTTTTTTTGTTGTTTGTTTTGGTTTGTTTGACTTTTTGAGACAGGGTCTAATGTAGCCCAGGCTGGCATGGAACCCCTGATCCTGCTGCCTCTACTTCCTGAGTGCTGGGATTATAGACATGTGCCACCCCACCTGGCTTACGTCTTTGTATTTTAACCATCAAGATTTATGGGAGCCTTTGTTGATTTCTTGGCAGCCTATGCTGTGGGACTTGGGCAGTAAAAGTACATAGCATCAGGTTGCTACTGGAGCCTTTCACTTTACTGAGGGTACCCATGGTATGGACTGAGCTTAAATTTCATTCTGAGTTTCTTTTTTATCTTACCTGATTTCAGATAAGTGAAAATTAATCACAAAGGTGATCAAAGCCACCCTTAGTGACTTTTGCATGTTAATTATGAGTAATTACTATGACTTAGGCCTCTCACCCACACTCAGCAACCTGGGCAGATGCAATCTCAGGTCAAAAGGACAAGTAGCAGCAGCACAATTAAATTCACTTAGACCCAATGCACATATGCCCTCTTCCACCCATTTCCATCTTATAAAGTCAGCTACAATTCCCTCACTTCTCAATGAGGTGGGAAGCAGGCCATAACCTTGCCAGGCGCCCTACTCTCCACCCTTGATTAACTCTGCTCCAGGCTGGCACACCTACTCTCCAAACTCCATAAAGAACATATTCCCTGGCTCCTTCAGAATCTCTGCAGCCAGGCCCGGCGCCTACTGTCCCAAACCTTGCTTCGGATTCTTGCTCCGTTATCCTCCTCCAGGATCAGTGTGTACATACGTCTATGGAGCTGTGTTCTTGGCATTGGGATCTGTTAGATACATCTGTGTGGTGTTCCAGTGCAAGGACTAGAACGACAACTTTCCACTGTCAAGAACAAGGACTACAGCTCTTTGACCTACATCTCCTGTGTATCTGCAAAGGGCATATACACAGGACATTCAGGGCAAACTGTGAGTGAGGGCTGGCCAGGGCCTTCCTACCGTTTGGTTCCCACCCTTTGATTTGGGGCAATGTCAATGGTGTCAGTGACGGCATCATGACGGACAGCCAGGCCCAGGTCTGCGATGGCGCACATGCCATTTTTCTTCACGAGGATGTTCTTTGACTTTAAGTCTCGATGAGCAATTCCAGGCTTCCCTGGCAAAGACAGAACCAGGGATCATTCAAGAAAGATGTATAAATGTTAAAAGCATAGATTCTGTAGCCAGACTGTGTGGGCTGAATCCTGGCTTTGCCTCCTGTAACCCAGTGATCCCATGAGTGCCTCAGTTGTCTCATCTGTACAATCAGAGTGAAGGTACTTCACAGGAATGTGCTGAGACTAAAGCATTCCCAGAAGGAAAGGCCTCAGAATGACAGGGATATCACCTAACATTCAAATTTCACTACTACCTACCAGCTCTGAACCTTGGTAGACCAGTTCTCAGGGCCCAGCAGGACAACTGACCAGTTGTCAGAGCTGACAGGCCTCAGGACTGGGCCTGCCAACAGTACTACAAGGCTAAGACTATGGCCCAACTGTCACAGCTGATTTCCTACCAAGCTGAGCAAGAGCTGCTGCCCTGCTCAACCAAGCATCAAGGGATCACATCTGCCACTGGGGCAAGGCCAGGGTCTCCCCCAGTCAACAAGCATCAGGGTACTGGATCTTCCACGAAAACCTCTGCAGACTACTGGATCTGTCTCACTACCACACAACCTATAAGCTGATGTCCAACTCTCAGCATGTGAGACTACTGAACTGAGGCTCCTGGCACGCTGGTTTCTCTTCTTAGTTCCATTCTCAGTGTGCCCCAAAGATGCCTGTTTCTCAGCAAACCACCATGCTGCACTGTTGATAAGCAACTAAATAATCACCTTATAGACTTCCTTAGGGGAATGCTAATGATAGTATCAATAAGAGAACCCTGTTCAGCTTTTGTTCTTGCTCAAATATAGCTCAGCTCTCTGTTCCTCAGACGAAACCATCATTCCCAAGATCTGCCCCCTCCCCTGGCCCCCCAAATCATCTTGGTAAGAAGGACCAGATGGGGATAGACAGACAGGCTTTGTCTCAAGCTTCCTGCTCCTTGGCTCAGTTTACTACTCACCTTGAGTGCCTACAATCTCCATATGCAGGTGTGCCAACCCACTGGCTGCAGACAAAGCCAGCTTAATCATTCCCTCGATGGTCACTGTATAGCGGTTCAGATAATCGAACAGGGAGCCATGCTCATGATAGTCTGAGACAAGCCACAGCTGAGTCCAGGTGCCATTATCTGCGGAAAGCAAAGAGGAGGTTTGAACAGGAGGAATGGCCAGTAACAAGGAAGAGGGACAACCAGTGAGGTCCAGTAGACCATGGACTTACACGTCTTACCTCCAACCTGACTGCCCCTCGCTCCCATGTACCCACAGCAGCCCCTGGAAGGACACTTCTATTCTAGACCTGCTCTCTCATTCCTTCTAAGTGGGCTGCACTTAAAAGGACGAATGATGACTCCGAACAGTACTTCATCTAACTGCCAAGTTTGAAACATGAGGTGCCCAGGAAAAAGAAGTGCATCTTTAGGAAAAAGCAACAGGCAGTTTTGTTGCAATACAGCTTTTAACCCTCACAAGACTTGCTCAGGTACATGAGAATCCCAAGGGGCTACATCCACCACTGCCAAGGAGGAAAGCCTCAAAGGTCCCCCTATGCGCCAATGACCCTTTGAACACAGCCCAGCCACAGCACTGTCTCACTGGAAATGCTTCTTTTTAGTCTATTGCTCTCCTCCTCATGCCAGGAGCACTCTGTGAAAGCAAGAAAGATCTCCTTCCCGCATCACTGAATTACAGAATGAAAAGTGCTTTTCCATGCATGAATAGTCTACTTCCAAGTGTTCCCAGAGAGGCCATCTCGCCCTTCAGAGAAGCAATGGGAGGTAGGTAGCACGCATTGTAGTGTCCTCTCTTTTTACATGGGGTAGCAGGAAGGAAGAAGGGAGAGGAAGGAAAAGGCAGTAATCTAATTAGGCTGTACTGCTGTCAATAGGAAGACTGGAAATTGGATTGAGAACTCCCAAATTCTAGGCTGGCCCTAGTTCCAGGGCACCATACTAAATATATCACAGTAAAAAGGCAAGAACAAAGGAGTCTGACTTTCCTCCTTCCCTGGCCCTAACACAGGTTTCACCAGCCACATCCCAACTCATACAAGCTGCCAGAATCAATTGAGAATGGCTGTTGGAAACACCCAAACTCTGGCATCTCTGTTCATAAGGGCCACATTCTAACCAGTAGCCACTTCCTGAGGACCCATTGGTATGTTAAAAGAAGCAGGTTTTGAACCTTTCAAATGGGTGTAAGATGGATTTTTTTTTTTTTTTTTTTTTTTTTTTTTTTTTTATTAAGGAAATCCACTGATTTTAAAATGTGGCTATCTGAGATATATAGAACAGGCTGGCCTTGAACTCATAGAGATCTACCTCTTGAGTGCTGAGATTAAAGGTGTGCGCCACCATGCCCAGCTTCGAGTATTTTATTTCTTTTTCTTTTATTTTTTTTATATTTTATTTATTTTTTATTATTTTATGTGTACGAGTGTTTTCCCTGCATGCATGCATGCAAGTGTACCTGTGTCGTGCAGTCCCTATAGAGACCAGAAGAGAGCATCGGATCCCCTGGAACTGGGGTTACGGATTGTTGTTAGCTGCCATGTGGGTGCTGAGAATAGAATCCAGGTTCTCTACAAGAGCAGCTACTGAGCCAGCTCTCCAGTTGTACCTATCCAGTTTTTGCCACCTGTATCTCAAGCTCAGATGTGGCCCAGTTTCAATCTGGGCTCACTGAAACTGGCTTTCCTCCTACCATCAATTGTTTGAGAACTTATCAGTGAGCTCCTCAAAAATAGGAATGTAGGCTGGGCATTAAAGACACACCTTTAATCCCAGCATTCAGAAGGAGAGGCAGGGGAATCTCTGTGAGATCAAGGCTAGCCTAGTCTCCATAGTGAGTTCCAGGCCAGCTGGGGCTACAGGGAGACCCTGTCTCAAAAAAAAAGGGGGGGGGGACATAGAGCTGGGTGTGGTGGCTCAGGCCTTTCATCCCTGCACTTGGTAGGAAGCAGAGGGAGATCTCTGTGAGATCAAAACCAGCCTGGTCTACATAGCAAGTTGCAAGCCAGTTGACACTACAGGAGACCCTGTTTCAAAAGAATAAAAAAATTGAATGTGTGTGTGTGTGTGTGTGTGTGTGTATGTGCGTGCATGTGTGTGCATGAGTGCCTGGGTACAAGCAAAAGGATCAAAATTAAAGCAAGATGACCAGGTATGGTCCACATATCTGTAAAGCTAAGTACCTCAGAGGCTAAGGCAAGAAGATTGCAAGTTTGAGGCCAGCCTGTGCTACATGGCAAGGCTGTCCCTCAACTCCCACCTTCCCTAACAAACAA